TCACTGGTGTTGGAGAGGCACCGACAGGTCACGATGAGAGAGTCGGCTTCTGCTCCCAGATTGGTGTGTTTCACCGGCTCATGGGGAGAGATGGCTGCAACATTTTGTTTGCTGGTGATGCCATTGATGTGTTTTCATACACGCTGGTGAGTACACCTCTTTGCAGATGATTCGTTTTTGAGTTACCTGCAGGCTTAAGTCTTCAACCTGTTATTGCTGTGGGACTGATTAACTGTGACATTTCTTGCTACTTTAAGTTTTGGGAAAATGTAACATGAAATAATGTTTTAAAACAAGAAGAGCTTTCAAAATTGAAAAATATAGAACATCAATACAACAATCTTCATAGAAACATCTGTAGCCCATGTCATGTGTCTTACATCACTAATGAATACTCACACATGTTTTCATCAATGTGAAGAAATTGTAGAAAAAATATTTTTAATATAAAGCACAAAGTTCTGTTCCCTGTAAAACTTTTTTTCAAAAGAAATGTATTAAATGTCTCTTACTTAGATCTCATTTCAACATCAATATGCTGTTGACGGTAACATTTCCATTTCTTCACAACATTTTTGTTTGAATAACATTTCCTGTTCTTTGGGAAATATAACCTCCTACACTTAAAGCCATCATGGGGTTATTAATATGCCCAATCCAAAACCTGTAAACCTGAAGGAGGGCTGGAGATCAACACTGAAGACACATTTCTTCAGTGTTTTAGATATAATTCATAACAAGCAATGCTAAATTTGAATTTTAAAAAAGCAAAGCTTATCTAGGGCAGGAGTTTAAATAGAAATAGTCACAGTTTGTCAGCCTCTGCTGGTGACCTTTAGCAACTACAACTACAATCAGCATTATTTTTCATCTTCATGTTGAGGCTTGTTGAGACTGAAGCAATCCAACAGGATTTACAAACAATGCAGGCAAGATAAGAACGTTTCTATCAGACATTTCTACACCTGGCTTATTGTTAGGTGAATTCATATAGTTCTCAAAAAGCTCTTTTAGGACTCTCAACATCAGTAAAGATGTTTTTATGATCTAATTTTGTAACCTATTTTGTTTCTTTATAAGCTTTACAGTATAAACTACCCCAGCCTGCATGATAACAACATCTTGCGGAGGGTCCTGGTGACTGAGGTGTTGTACTGGGCAGAGAACCTGAGGAGAAGATGGATAGAGGAGAAGACTGGGGAGAGGGATGATTGTTATACACAGTGCCAGGCTGAAGGAGGGGACCAATGTCCTGGATCTTCAGAGCAGGACATGGAGATGCAGGAGAAGCAGACGGGTGAACACAACTTTTTTTAGGGTGTTCTAGGTTGTCTTTCTAATGAATTATTCTCATGATAATGTAACGTTATCTTTGCCTTTGTAGCAAATGAAGTGCTTACAGTAAGATTCTGTATCCCACAGCACATGGAGCAGAGATGAACCATCTGATGGAGCACTGTGGCAGAGCATTGTTAGAATATCAGGCAGAAGAAGGTGACGAGGAGTTTTGGACAAAAGGCAAAGGAAAACAGGAGTCTAGCACATTGCAAAGGTGAGTTTGCTTGACGAAGATGAAGTATACTCGGAGTAAGAAGAAGCAGTGGAATGTGAACTGATCTCAAAATTGGGAGACCTGGAGGATAATCATGAAAAGTAAGAGGAAAAGGAGCACAGCACACTGTTGTTGTTGTTGTTGTTCTCAACTTGTCCAACCACCTTTTGTTTCCCTTTTGCCCTAGTTTAGTTTAACCTGGTAGAAAACTCTCAGCGCATGCACAATTATTGCACCAATAACGAAAGTAGAAATGTAGTAAGGATGTTAAGCTGTTTATTTTTAGTTTTTACAGAATGAACCGATCTTTTTGACTTATGACAATATAAAAGAGTTTAGATGAATGTAAATATCAACTAATTTGGCCACCCTAAGCTTTTAACTCACGCTTTTAAGTACTGCTAATTTAACTTAAGTAAAGGTCTGAATTCCTCTTCCATGACTGTTCAGACGACGTCAAAGCTTCTGTCAGCATTTTCGTATTATAATGTGACCTGTTGTCTGTGCTGACAGGAGTGTGTCTGTCCCTCTGGCTGTGCTGTGGACATCCTGTCCCAAAGTCGGTGCCCTGAGTGGAAGTCTCAGTAACCTCAGACGCCTGTTGATGGATGGTCCCGAAGTGAAACTGAGCCAGGATGGCTCTGCTCTGCTTGTAAATCTTCAAGAACAGGGTACTTACAGTTCAGTCTCTTTCAAGTGTGTTACATTTGATCTTTAAACTAGTGCTGTCACTCAATTAATAAATATTACTCTAATTAATTACAGCTGATACTCTGTCACTGTTTGATATCTTTTCCTCACCTTGCTTCAACAACACAATAACATAGAGTACCTACAGACCAAAAAGACATACTGATGACGACATGACTCGGGTTTGTATTCTGACTGAAAAGTTTAATTGTTGTCTTAGAGTGAACACCTCCATTACTAATGCAACACCAAAGGTTGCCCAGCAGGTGTCACCATTTAACTGTAGCGGTTAATAACAATGAACATTTCCAGCGCTTCATCACGGTTTGTGAACAATTAATCATTAATGGTGAATTACGACCACAATGCATCCTCAGCTGACTTTGTAATGACTCTTCCAATAAATCTAATAATCAGTTTCTGTGGTTGATCTTTCATCTGTTGTTTAAGACCTTGAAGAAGAAGAAGAAGAAGAAGAAGAAGAGGATCAGAATGATCTGGAGGACAGCGGATATGCTGGGGTCAGCCAGTGTTTCCACAGTGCTGAGCAAGAGGAAGACTGGGAGACAAATGTTTGATCTGGAGGATACAGGACAAGTAGGTGACATCTTCAAATTTACCAAGCGAACTCATGAGTGAACTTCACTTGGATGCTACTGGACATCACAAAATGTTCTAACAAATCCGTGAAGAGCTGGCTCTTGGATTTGTTAAGTGGCTTTTTTTTTTACTGCAACTTTGTTTTTCTGTAAGAGTTAAAGTGTCACCTCTGGCCTCTACAACACGAGTATATTGACAGTCCAGATGTGTAAAATAAAAGTCTGAAAAGGAAACATTTCCTGCTGGATGTTGTATATTTTAACAAGATGAAATGAAATCACACTTGCTCCAGATTTTTTAACCGTTTAATTCAACAGTGCAAGGTACACATTTGAAGCATCCAGTACTCTTGTTAAGGAAGCAGATGTTGGTCAAAAAACAAGCCTTTAACAGGAAACACTGAACGGTGTCAGAACAGCGCAGAACATCACTTCACCGGAGAATACGTTTGACAGTTTTATATAGACAACAGCTTCACAGAAGAGAAGAAGAAACCATGTTTGTAACAACATGTTAGGTACCAAGATGAACACACCTGTTCCCCACAGGTGAAACAAGTGATTTTGATCCAAAAACACACAAGAAAAACAGACAATAGTTGTTATTGGATAGCCATAAATCATACACTAAACACTTTTTTACTATGCAGGGAGAAGACTTTTTTTCTCTCCCTTAAAGAATGAATTATTTAGAAAACATATGGCACAATATCAGCAATGAAAGATTCCAAAACACAGACGATGATATCCTTCAGATGTTACTTTCATCATTTGAAAATTCAAACCATGCCGGAAATACAAAATAATCAAATGAGAACACTGACTTACAGTCACAGCAAATACTTTGCAGATTTCTGCTTTAACAGGACGTATCAATAACAAAACAGATGTTATACCTGCTAATTAGGCAAGTGAAAATCTTCCTTCAGTGTGGAAATATTCAGATTAAAAGATGGCACAATATTAAATTAGGTAAAACATGAAGATGTGTCAAGTTCTGCAAGCTAACAAAAGGACATCTTCATCATGCAGAACAGAGGGACACAGAAACAGAGAACACTGACATAGTTCAATACCATACAATGACATTTGTGCAGATATTGATTCCACATGTATATAATCTAAGGAAGGAAGTATCATACTTCGACTATGGCTTATGACAGGAGACAGAAGATTATAGATACTATACAGTCTGTTTTCACTAGTTATAATGTGTATTTACTCCCTATGCATAGGCCTGACAGGGTCCCTGGTGAATCGTTTGTTGTGTACTTTGGCTAGTTTGATATTTAATGAGTTTATTGTGCAGTTAATCTTCTGAGGCTACAAATTCAAATCCTCAACATGCATGACACTATCAGGATTTCAGATGTATATTAGGAAGTCGGACTTCTATCTGCAGCTCTAATTGATTCGATACTGATTGCGTTGGATAATAGATTTGTTATTAGACTGTTGTTTAGTCTAGCAGTTTATAAGCTGGAGGGAGATATACATACACAAAGAAATCTAATACTCTGCAGCTTTTTAAGACAGGTGCTGTTGAGCATTTTCTACATGGCAGTGAATCACCTATTAAGTCCTTCATTTAACAATCCTAGAGCGATACAAACTACAGTATGTATCAGTTGCACGTTTATGAAATTGTTGATATATCACAGCATCTTCCATTTGTTTGCTGATTGAAGCTTCCTGATCAACAGGCCTTCTTCCAATGATGTAGTTGAGTTGCAAAGCATAGGTATACAATAGATACATAGCTTAAATGCCAGGCATTGGATATATGCCCTTCTACCTTGATATTAATCACAGAAGCCCCTTTACATTTGGTTTTTACTGACCTACAAAGCCAGAGAGCATTCACTTACAAGAGCAGTAAATTCCAGAAAAAAGGCAGACTGCGTAACAGACACGTAAAACCTTCATATTTTAAAATTTCGGCTGAATATTAAACACATAACATCGTTGATGTAGGATTTACATTTTCTTTTTAAAAAAAAAGAAGGAAACATCACCTAAAAAAAACTAGACTGCCTGTGTGTTTGGATAATATTTGTGGAATATTGGGGGGGAAGTCACAGTATTTACCTATATTTCAGTTTTCTTGTCCTTTTAAATCTGTTTAAGAAAATAACATTTATTTAGTAAGCTTTCGATTACAGGTATAGAATGGATCTGTTTAGCTGGGCATTAGTCTGTACATCTCTTATTAAAATACTGAAATCAATCTGATAATTTACAAGGCATTACATTTATTTGAGCTGTCTCGTTGGCTGTCTCTCCGTGACAGAGTGCAGTAAACGCAACCTGAACTGATGTGTTGTTACAGCAACATGGTGAGCACTACAAAACCAAAACCTAGTCACTGGGATTTAGATTCATTACGCTCCCTATTTGTAGAAAGTGACATTTTCAAAGCCAGTTTTAACTGCTTTACACTTTTCTACAGTTTTGGTGATAATATGGTGAGGAAAGTATCAAAAAATGTCTTCACTTGGTCTTCAACAATTGTGGTGTTAATCCCCCTCTCTGTGGAGGATTCTCCTAAACAACACTTAGCAGTGTGCCATTCAGATGCAAACAAGAACGTCTGTTATCACATTTTCTTTTTTTTTTGCAAGTACCAATATAACATCCGCTACGAAAGACATTGTGTCACATCCTCCCGCTCATCCACGACAACAGGATAACTGCTAACAGTGGTCAACACATAAAAGACACTTACCTACACTCACACACAGTCTGCATCCTCAAATAGCTCGACTCTGATGCCTCCTTTTTGTAGTAAAACATTCTCACAATCAAAACAATAACAGTTGTCAGAGTGCCAACAACTGCGGCTTTTTAGCAGCTTATAGGCTATTCATAATTATAAAATCCTATTTGAGATCTCCGAACACACAAAAAGAGTCAAAAGGAATGTTTTGAAAGCACGTACTCCTCTTCAGTGTTGATATCAGTTTGTTCTGATGGTGCACACACACACACAGCATGTCCTGTGTCCTCAGTATCGATTTCTCCCAGTTCCTCTACAATTTATTCGGTACAGTTTTGGCTGCTGCGTGGGAACGTTGGACTTCAACTAATGAGGTTAATCTAATCCCAGAAAATGTGAAACAGACTGTCGGCGTTTTATGTTAATGTTTTCTGAAGGATCTGGTCATTGCTCGTTTTTTTTTTCCTAACACACATCTGTATGTTTGCACTGAGATGACCTCCCGATCTTAACAAAAAAAAAAAAAAGAACCCATCAGAGAGCTACAGTACAGTTTCAAACATGAACACAGGAGGGCACTGTTAAAATGTCAACCATTCAAAGAGCGATCAGGGAGGACACAGTGCTGATCAGGTAACTTGTGTGTGCTGTAGGAGTGCAGATTGAAGCTGACACAACCTAACATCAAGGTTTGTTTTTTCGCAAAGCAGTGTGAGCCCTCCTCTTAGAGCCTGCATGTCTAACGCTTTATCACCACCTGCTCGTATGCTCCAGCTCCAACCCTGGGATGAAAAGAAAACACCAAATGAAATCAGCATCATAGAGTAGAGCTGTCATCATAGTCATATACTTCTAGCTTTGTTTGTGTTCATATGTTTTTGCAGGTCACTTTTCAAAGACAGTACAGACATCAATACGAGTTAAATGTAAAGCTGGTAGGTTTTTTAACTTACACCAATGTAATGTAATGTACTAACACCAATGCCTTTTAAAGCAAATCTAGCAGTCTTTATTTCTTATCTAAAATTATTTACAGAACCTTTTTCACATTATTCTCACAGTCAACACAACACAGTAAGCTATTGTCTTTTCGTCACTAGCTAAGAGCGCGCTAACCAACTAAGATAAACTAAAAGCATGTTAAGCATGACAAACAGGCTACATAGTGTCCTTTAAAGCTATACTTGAAGATTTGGGACATTTAGGCGAAATTCCTGTTTTTTAATGGATGTGGGGAAGACAAAATGTGGTGCACAGGAAGTCAGTTAACTGTCTGTTTGATTGTATTGTTACAGGGAAATGTACACTGAAGAGCAGGAGTGATGGGTTGTTATTAAGAAGGAAGATAAGGAGACAGGCATGAGGAGGTTGTGGGTCCATCAAAAGCATGGAGGGGTTAACCACAAACAGATAATGTATTCCCCTCTTGGGTCGCCAAGAATTGAACAGGATGCGAATACTAATGCGAACGCTAATGTTCAATTCACTTTTTATTGACCGTAATGTCAAGCTGCACATTGTCTTTTCCACATTCAGTTATTATTTACTGGCCATAGTTGCACAACAGGCAGCCCCTGGTTGCTGTTGAATTTAATGGCGATCCATTAGATAGTTTCAGACAGATCTTAGCCATGCTCACCTGGAATGAAGGTGATGGCTTCCTAGGGCTGTGCTTCCACCAGGGCCAACAAACAGACGCAAGCCCTCCTCTGAAACAGACACAGTTGTAGTAACATTCAGTCAGTGCAGAGCGCACACATCCCCTTGTATAATTCTGGTCGTGAGGAGCAGCCAGTTGCTAGGCAATCTAAAAATAATCATGTATTGACAACATCTTATGTTTCACAGCTTTGAGCTGCATGAGACCTTGGAAAGAAAAAACATTGTCCTTCTCCCCAAAGTGCACAGACTTTGTGCATGGAGGGCTAAAGTACTGTGAATCATTTTCTAATGCAAATAAACTGTTTCATTAAAAAAAGCAGAAGGGCTCCAGAGTAGGGCTGCAACTAATGAAGGATTGATCCTTAATTGAATATTTTTATTTGGAAATGAAATATGGATAATTGACACATTGATATTTTCGGATTGTTTCTTAGTGCATACACTCTAGAGAACCTATAAGTACATCTGCACAGCAACATAACAAACAGCACAGACAGGGGGTGGGGCCTGAGCAGATACAGACATCACCACACACACTTTCTGACTAGATTTATTCAAATGGAATATTTTTTGAATGGGTCTTCCAGTTTTAGGTGGGAAATTCAGCTTATTATGCCTTTTGTTACTTTTAACAGTATTTAAAATGTACATGTTGGTTTATTAAAACCAAAATATTGTGTTTGTAGGACTTCTATCCTCTATCGACCTCACTCTGTTTTTCTGGCCTTACCTTCAGCACTGGAGTCCAGTAGGCTTGGTGTAAAGTCTTGACTCTGAAGAATTTTTTCCACAACATCGTCTGCATCCACTCGCGTGTCGTCCATTCTCTTCATCTGTGACTCCATGGAGTCCTGCTTCACTGGGTATCTGAGGAGACAGATATAGAAGCGAAAACAAATACTTTAAGGCCAACTCAAAAACCTGTTTTGTTTGTCTCACTGACTTTATTTTGCATTTGGTGCTGAACAAGGTTGCGGTCAACCACCAGTGTAACATGGGAGTCCATGTGAGCAGCTGAAAATGATGCCTATCAGAGTCCACTTGTTGTCCATTAACACATTGTTTTTTGCAGCTCTAGCAGCCACACCAGTTCTATTTGCTGCTTTGTATTCAGTAGCACATGAATAGAGCAATCAATTAGGTACTGCTATTTAGAAACTTGTTTTTTTAAATCAATAATTGAAGCCAGCTTGAAAATTTCATACACATATTGTGCACTTTATTTGAACAGTTTTCTGACAAAACCCGGGAAGTTTCAATGAATCGTTAAACATTTTACAACATGCCTCTTTGCTTTCTTGCAAAAAAACAGACTGACCCCTCTGTCATTTAGGTTGGTAAATATGAAGCTATAGCATAGCTTTACTGTGTAGTTCTAACATGTTTGTGAGAATTAAATGGTAAAAATGCAGGCCTTAGGCGGTTGGCTAAATGTACAGTACATCTAAAGTAGCATTATGTAGGACTTGGTATGGGCTTCCCCCAGAGCCATACACTCTCCACTCTGTAAGGCCCGTCTCTAAGTCACCCTTAGCGCTCAACAAAGGTACTTTAAAACTCTACATGGGCTAAACAAGCTTCTCTGCTTGACTCATGCTAGGACATTTTTAGATCCCACAAACAAACAAACTCTTTAAAAACAACAAGAGCCCCTGCAGGACACCACATAAAGAACCCACAGTTAGTTTTCCGCTCTTCTGCCTCAGAGCAGATGCTTCCTGTAATGTGCCACAAGCCTCAGATGTGATTAAAGTTTAACGTCTATTAAATAACTTTCTCCTTTATTGTTACAAAACATGGGGTTACCATTTTGACTGGATGAGTGCATTTTCTTTGTGCATTGGGACTTTGACAGCAATGACATCCGTATGCATTTTTCATACACTTTCTAAATGACACAACAACTCACCTGTTGAGTCGTTCACAGGATGAGGCACTCTGTACTGGTGTACCCACTGGGTTGCTAGTAGTGGCTGTAGGGACTGGGTGTTCCGGTAGAGCAGGGCAGGGTCTTGACTCTCTGTCCCGGTCTTCACTGGGCTCTGGGATGCTACCAATGCCTGTTGAGGCGCTCCCTACTGAGTGGTTTCTCCGATGGCTGAACTCTGACATGCTGGAGGAGCGGGAGTGACCTGTGCTGTATCCTGAGAGAGATGACAACAGATTGTCAGTACAGTACAGTTCTTCAAAGAAGAATAATATCTTTGTTGTCCATTTTAGAACAGTGGAAACTTGTTTTCATTGATGCATCACTTCATGCTGATAGTAGGGATGGACATGTACAGTTATCTAAATACTCAAGCATTCTCCTTCCACACAACTTAATGGGAGCTTTTTTCCAGTCACCATTTTGGTTTTTATCTTATCTGGATAAAGCTTATCACCAAGACTGACATTATTTTGCCTGTTTTGACTTTGTCATTGGATACAATATTATAGAAAAAACAATTTAGTTGGTTTAAAGAGTCAGGAGGAATGTGTCCTGCATATTTAGACATCTCTGCTGCATTGCCCCTTTGGGGTTGTTGTTTTTTTGCCTTCAGTGTTTAAAATGTAAAATAATTTGTTAAAAGTGCTTTGTACTGTAAAAACATTTATCATTCTACTAGGTCAATGCATCCGATTTTTTATTCATGTTGAGTAATTATACATCTCTGGAACTCCTTAGAAGGTCTGTCGTTGCATTAAAGAAATGAAAGCCTCATCGCTGCTGAGACACATTCATGTCATTACACATTTATCTAATAACAGCACCAGTCGTAAAGTCTACCTTTAAACATTAATGACATAGATACAAGTGGAGGAGTGTAAAGGTACAAGAACTACCTAATATCAGGATTCAAACATTAGTTCATAAACATGAACCGCTTTCAAACGAGGCGTTATTCAGGATTAGTTTTTGCCGTGCTGTTGAGTAGATTTGTGACATGCGGTGTGTTAAATTTTTTTGCAGTGCAGTGTGACTCACATGCTGTCTGTGTCTACAGGAAGCCATTTCAAGCATGAGAGATCTCAGGGCATCAGATCACAACAGTCGTGGAAACTTCCTGCACACTAATTCCTCGTTCAAATAAATCTATCAACAGTTAAATGTGGCAGGAAATACTTTTTCTAATACGCTTTTTTCAGGGCCATTAAAGCTGTGCTCAGTGCATCTCTCTATTTCCTCTGATTTTTTTTTATTACCGACATCTGATCTGCCTCTAATGGAAACTGGAGCCTCAAGTTCGAACCGCTCTGGTGGAGTGTCACTGAAGAATAATTTCATTACTTCTCTACTACTTTCTCAAAGGGTTTCTCAGCTTGTCCTCACCAGGGATGGACATTTACAGTCATCTAAATACTCTCGTTTCCTGATGAATGAGTACTCACTTATTAAATATTTTTTACAATAAAAAAAGAAAGAAGTTGAACAAAGACCTTCTGGTGGTCCGCTATGTTTTTTGCACTGTGTTGCTCATCTGTTTGTATATAGTACAGCGGTTTTCCCAATTCCCCGTTGTGAATGAAATGACAAGTGATGGTAACGTTTGTCTCTGTGGTGAGAGCTGTCCATGAGGCTGTGGTGACAGACATGTCCTGCAAAACTCTGCTGCTCTTTCCTCATTCATCTTCTCCACTCTCGTAGCTGTTGTTAGCCTCGACGGTGGCTTGTACCGCGGCTCGACAAAACACCAACGTGCGAGTGCTGAAACATTACTCGAATAATGTCAACAACTCATCCCTAAACCTTACACACATAATCTCCATCCAAAATGATTTCAGAAGAGCAAAAGATTGGTGTTTTGTATTTGATGTGGTTGGTATAAAACAACCGTATTAAAAAGCTACTTATGAATTAGACTTTATCTGCAGAGATTGTGTGTACGATCCATATCTGGTTAAAATTAAGAAATAAAATTCAAAATATTGAATATTATTGGGGGCCTCTACCTGAAAGTTTGGACTGTTGGCTGGCATAGCTGGATGTTCGGGAATGGCCGCAACCGCCAAGATCCTCAGAAACAACAGGACACTTCCCTTCTCGACTCTCTGCTGGATTAGACAGAACAGAAAAGATAGACAGAGTATTTGTGAAGGCCCGAAAGCTCTACAAGATTGTATTGCTAAAAAACTGACATGTACGTATAAAGACAAAAATCCTTGGTTTACGGCCTTACTGAAGCCAAATCAGAGGGAGGAACTGCAGTAAACCTGTCAAGAACCATGCTGTGTACTCTCCATGTCTGATCTCCAGCTTGCTAGTGTGGTGTAGAACATGCTGCAGTGAATGAAAGCATTTTATTTCTGCTGACAGAAAGCGGTTTAAACTCCTTACATCTTCTCACATTGTCCTTTAGTTCACCGTCCCTTTGAAAATGAGAAAGTGACCATTGTTGGAAAAATTAGCTATGGTGGCTACCAAAATAAAAGCACTTCTGAGAATGTTTTAGAATGACAGTAGAACCCCTTTTTTCCCCCAATGCTATCACAACATTTACCCACATACACAACATTTTCAAAGCTCAGGTGCGTCTGCCATAAAAAGAAAATATGTGACTGAAAAATCCAAAAGGCTACATGACTGTTGTGACAACCAACGTTGGAGAGTGTGTACCCCAGATTCTGAAATGTCAGCCTTTTTAAAACACGTGCAGTAAAAAAAACAAACCCGTGTACCACTTTTAATGTCAAGCAGGCACATGGGCAAAAAAGGCTGAGCTGCCCGCAGGCTGAACAGTTCAGAGTTCAAAAAGCTTTGGGTAAGAAAAAAGAAAAAAGAAAGTCCTCTGCCTCAGCAACAAAGCAGAAGATACAAACCATTCCAGTTGTTTTGAACCTCAGGATGTAAATGTGGATTAAATGTGAACTAGCTTCCCCCTAAGGTCTTAGTGAAGTGAATATTTAAGCATGTAATATCCAGCATTCCCTGAAAAACCCCTTTGTTTTAATCCCAGAATAAAAATGAAACAATGTCACATCTGCCCCGTTTTCAAATGTGCTTAACGCGTATGATGCAATGATCACCGCCAGGCAGGCACAGAAGTGTTTAATTCTGAAATGATATATTCTTACTCCTTTCTATACAAATAGCTAATTAGGACACCTAATAAATCTTTATAATTTTGTGTTAAATGAAAAGTCTATTTTGACTCACTGATACACACTTGTCGGTTACAGTGACCTTTGCATCCACGGGTTCACACAATATCTAGACTTGTCTTGGAGGACCAGCATGCATAAATACATTTATAAACCCATCTACAAAGAAATAATAAATCATAATTGCTAAAAACTAAAACAACATCCTTTTTCAATTGATGCTGCACCAACATGTGAAAAACTAATGCACATAATCCGCAAACATGCACAACCAAGACACAATGCTGCTGGTGGGAAAGACAATTGTCTTCAGCAGACAAATACACGTGTTGTGAATACATGCTAACCAACAATCCCCCCTCACACACACAGACTTACACACACACACACACACACGTCCTATTTTTAACCATGACAGAGCCTACAGGGTCAGAGCAGATTGTAGCTTATCTAAAAGAGAACTAGTTTAAATTATACATGAAAGAGCTGCACTACACTCTGAAGCTTCCAGCATGTACAAGCATTCACTACAGCAACGTGTTCGTCCATGAACACACACACACACACACACACACACACACACACACACACACACACACACACACACACACACACACACACACACACACACACACACACACACACACACACACACACACACACACACACACACACACACACACACACACACACACACACACACACACACACACACACACACACACACACACACACACACACACACACACACACACAGGTAGAGACGAGAGGGACACAGGAGAGTGAAATGTAGCAGAAAGGCACAGCTGGAAAAGAAACATGTGTACAGTGCAGCTGGATGGTAAATGAATAGCAGTGATAAAAAAGTACTCGTCTCCAGAGACAAGTGCACGTGACATACAGGAAGAATCACAGTATTTATCAGAACAATGTCTGCAGCTTCAAAGATGAGCTTTATTAGTGAAGAAGGAACAACTGCACTGCAACGTTTTCCTCCCCAATACCAATTCTAAAAACAAAACTCCTTTATCTACCAACACCACACCTTTGTATTTAACTTAACTGTATCGTCATGTGCTCCTTGCAAATACATGTATGGAGGCAGATGTTACAGAATCGATATGGCTGCAAAGCTGTGAGGACAGTTTTGAAAGACAGTTGACCTTTGGTGCAGCTCACAATAACACCGTAGCCATAGCTCTGGGATTACATTTTTTTCTCTGATGGATCTCTGATGAAATGAATTGAAGCGTTTTAGGTTGTAGGATCCTAAGGCCTCTGCTGTTATTCTCAACAATACAGCTGTTGTAGTGAATTCTGTGTAGGACATGGTCCATTATCCAAAACCAGTGTATATCACGATATGTATTGCATCGTGATACGTGTCGAGTCATGGGGTTGTGGGAAAAACACAGCCCTCGTTCCAAAGTTGGTGCAGCAAGCAAGGAGCCGGAGTGAAGTGTTATATGGCAAGAAAGCAGGTCAGACGTTGTGTAATGTAAACTGCTATCGGTGTTATATAGCAGTGATTTAGAGAATACAGAAGATACATCATACAGTTAAAATGGTGGAATCTTTCTGCTTTGCTGAACAATTTGAGGGATATGTCTGTATCATGTGATAAACTGCACTAATTATAAGCTGGGGTTTAGCACAGCAAAAGAGAGAGCGCATCAGATGTTTAAAAAAAGAAAAGAAAAAAAAGCCATTGGGATGATGAGGCAGAGCAGGAGAGTGTAATGTGGCGTGATTGGTCTCACCAGAACAGCCTTTCTGCGAGTCCCCTCTCCTCCTCTCCTCCAGCACGCTCTCTACATCCCCCTGGATCCCGATGACTGTGGCTGTGGAGGGCGGCCTGATGACAGAGGAAAGACAATAGTTCCTTTTTCTCCTCTAGTATTTCAGTGTGTCCGTTATTTGAATCGTTCTTATAAAAAAAAAACACAAAGCAAGGTAAGAAAACAACATCATCGAGGGAGATGGAACTAAAACAGCAAAACGAAACAACATTGAGTCAGGACATTAAGTATTTAAATTCCGGTTGTCTAGAAGTAGAAGTACTGTAGAATAAACTCAGGGATTTGAATTCAAGCTGAAATAAAAGAAGCCATTGGTATTTACATAAAGGCTACTGAATAATTTTTAGGTCAAATTCCGCCCTCGGGTAAGGCAGCATATCGTTCTCTCTCTGTACGTATGTGACAAACGTTTTCACTGCACAGCAAGTTTCTACTAAAAGAAGTATGAGAGCCTAAAACATGTTCCTTGCTTGATTAATCAAGTGTGTACAAACACGTGAAAAACCATAACAGATGTCAGCACCACACCTACAATGGAATTCATGTAACAGCTCCAAATCAAAATGAGTCCGCAGCAGACGGCATGTTGTTACTTTTGCACATACAGCAGTTTGTTTTTGTTTTGTTTTTGCATTTTTAGCATTTTTATCCTGTAATAGATAGTGGTGCTTTTAGTGCAGCTGTACTGATAGAAGATAGAGCATATCATTTTAAAGTCTGAAACTGATAGGAACTGTTTAACCCCACAAGCTCTCTTATTCCAAAAGGTCCATACAACTCAAATTGTATTGATAAAAATGTTAAAACTCGAATGCCCAACTACAAGTTAACCGACTGATGACGAACTGAAGACCAAAGCAGCTGCAGCAGTGCATTAAAGTTGAGAACAGTTCACTTACGTTTTAAAACAGGGATCCCCTGACATAAGCTGCGTACTGATGATAACCTAAGAAAGGAGAGAGACATGTTAACGGTTAAGGTTTGACTTGCATTGTTTTCTTTCTTTAAACTTATAACTCTGCAAATAGGTCCAAGCATACTTCATCCAAAATGGCAAAAAAAACCAAATCAAAAGCTCAAGGCAGATCTGTACGTGAACCAACTTCTCATTCAAATCCTTTTTGGGACTTATAACTTTCTTATTTACTCAGATAATGTCTGTGAATCTCTGTGTTTATAACAGCTGTTCTTCTTCAGTGGTTTGTTTCTGGCTACAATCTAACACACGACTGGGGGACACAGCCACTGTTGTTGTACTCCATCCTAAACCTTTATGCAAAACCCTTTTCCATGCAGGTCTTTGGGTCTTAGTTGCGGGACATACCATGCTTGTATTCAAAACACCAGGGTACCTTCCTAACGCAGTCAAGTCAGACTGGTGTGGCTGCTTCACTGGGGCTTCAGTGTTACCTTGAGAATGGAGTTATCCTGGCGGGTATTTTTGGTATCGTAGCCTTCCAGCAGACATCTGCGGGTTGTATTCCCTGAGCCGGCAAACTCTGCTAAATTCAGATCTGCAAAACCGAGCTGAAGGAGAAAGAATGACAACGGGTGAACTTTGTTTTCTCTCAGGAGATTTGTGTTCTGCCTGCTCAGCAGCAATATGTGGATGTAATATGACAAGAGGTCAGGACAGGAAAGAAACTAGAGGGAAATCTTGAAGCTTTAGTGTCAGCATGCTCGGTTAATAGTTTCTTACAAAGACTGAAACAAGAACACAGCACATAATGAGACAACCTGCAGGCATTGTTGACCATCTGTTAGCTGCGGGCTCTCTTGGCGGTGGCTGATTACTGTAAATCTAGGTGACCTGTAGGGTGGGTCAGGGGAGGCTGTTGGATAACATAAATATATGAGGGCTTACCTTTGCATATGCCTTCCCACCTTTCAGCTCCTGAAAGAGAGATGTATACATATTTTATAGCCAAACACTTTAACTCAGATAACAAAAAAAAAAGTGTTTAAACCCTTAAGGCTTGACATGTTTTAGCACGATTAAATTCTTAATATCTGAAATATTGTAGTTCCAAAGCACTTGAATGTGACCATAGACCGGATGGGACTGGGAAAATAATTAATTTAATGGTGTCCTGATAAGAAAGCGTTCCAAATGAAAAACAAACCATGTTCAGTGTTGTTAGACCAAAACAGCAGGAAAGGGCGACTGTTTGACATTTTGAAGGTTCAATACTTAAACACTGGTGTGTGGTGGGGGGGGGGGGGGGTCACCTAGTGGGAGCGTCACCCAGTGGGAGCATAATATTAAAGGTGTTTTCTGAGTACACTAGAAATAGACATGTATATAGACCAGTGGTTCTCAACTGGACCTATCACAAGCTCCTTAAGAAGAAATTGCGACCCAAAATTCTGATATTTTTCAACCAATGAGATTTGTTTGATACCTCAGACTGTCCAAAGAAATGACAGAACAAGAAGATGAAACAAAACAAAAGTGATTTTCAGACTTTTTTTTTTTCAAAGCCCACTTTCGCGACCCACCTAAAACAACTTCACGACCCACTTTTGGGCCACGACCCACCAGTTGAGAACCACTGATAATGACAACCTGTATTTTATCTGGAAGGCTTAATCAAGCTTGTTAATTTTCTCCTTCTCCCTCTAATATTCTGAAATACTGTGAAATGATTAAACAAAGCATGATGAAACAACCACAGCACACTCACATTTAAGGTTTAAGATGTTATGGTAGCAATCAAATGAGAGTCACATTCTTCACAGGGATGAGTTTATTTATTTTATTGACATACACAGCCCTTTTCTGTCACCTTATTTTGAAATAAAATGTCGCCTTTTGAAGCCTGCGCTTGAAGCATCTTTAACTTGAACCTTAAATGTTCACAATGTGAAGCCTACGTTTATGGCTCATCTGATTTTGTAGATGTATCTAAATCTGAAGTCTGAGACTCAGCAGTCTTACACTGTACCTTTCTGACAGACACACGACACACACAAGGGTCCAGTACACCTGTCCCGGCGTTGGCGCTCATCTTGCAGGGGAACGAGAACCGTTTCCTCCATCGGACACAGTTGGCCTGCACTGGCTCCCTGTCAGGGGAAATCACAAAGACAAAGATCAGTGTTGAGCCCTCTGGAAAGGTCAGAAAAAGATGCATTTTTGAGTGCGCTCTTAAAGGGTAATTTACAGCCGGATGTTAGAAAGCTTAGGGTCATGATTACAGATTAAGATGAGTAAAGATTGCTACAAAAAAGAAGAAATGAAATCCCAAATCCAGCCAGGCAGTAACATTATAATGTGTACAAAAACAACGGAAAAGTTCATTTCCTTTTCTTCAATTTGAGAACTACATTACAAGTCTTGATTGATGTAAAGCCCAGGGACAGAATAGTTATCATTTATTATTCTTATCAATAAAATACAAAAGCAACAACACAAACTCTGATTAAAAACCTCTAAAGTTCTCCATTGGGTGACATTCAACTTATTAACAGTGATGGGACCGACCTTATCTAATAACGGTATCGGGTCCGATATTGACGTAATTTACAAATCGGATATTGGACTAAAATCGTTGACATGACAACGTTAAGATGAGATGGAACAGCTCCTTCTGTATGATACAAAGAACAATTCTTACTCTCCAGTTGAAAAGTTTTAATTTGTAAAACCTTCCAGTTGTTGCTGCTTCCTGTTTGTTTGGTTAACTGAAGCTTTGTGAAGCCTTACACATAATATAGAATAGAACAGAATAGAATTACTTTATTGATCCCACACTGGGAAGTTGTGGCGTTACAGCAGCAGGTTGTCCAAACACACAATATGAGCAAATTTAAACACAATATAATATTAAATACAAAGTAAATAAGCACTAAAACATCAAAACTAAGAATGGGGATATATACAACCAGGATTTAATTTAGCATTACTAGTATTAAATATGAAAGATTAAATGTAAATGTGCAAAAACAGGAGTTGTAAATGAACAGTATTGACATATTAATACCAACAATGACAATATTAATTATGATTTAAACAAAATATTGGAATCAGTGTATTGGAATTGGATCAGAAATTTAAATAAGTGGATCGGGTGCATCTCTACTTATCATTAGAGGAATGTCTGAATGTTTTCAACATCGTCTTTAGGGTACCGGTACTTTTTTTATTCTTTGATGGAATAGTTTCAGATATCAAATCCTAACAATCCAAAACAATTCTTTTATGGATAAGTTCTATTGATTTTCTGCCTAGCCATCCGTTTTTATTTTTTGCTGTTGTGCAGTCACCTCCATAAATGATTGAATCAAACTTCATTTTGTATATTTCTATATCACAATGACTGTTGCATCACGTGCATCTGACGCCTGCCCCAGTTTTCACATTTCTCCTGCATTTGGCCGTTAACTGGTGCTAATTCCCAATCCAACAATGAACTCATCTCTTCCTGCTTGAAGCTGCTGGTTCAAGCTGCCAACACCAGCTTATGGGCTTAGCCTCTGATTTCTCTGGCCACTTAACACGCTGGTTAATCACAGTCCTTTTCTTCCACCTATTGATTTAGTGCACACAACCACCGCCTGGGCTCATACTCGAGGTTAAAATGAGGGTGAGGTGTAGTCCACATTCAGTGAAAGGATGAGATGAAACGTTAGAGGAGAGAGTGTGTGTGTGTGTGTGTGTATGTGTGTGTGGGCAGCATTACGATATCCCAGATGGCTTCTCTCTCTCTCTCTCTCTCTCTCTCTCTCTCACTCACTCACAGCCATCCTCTCCTCTCCCACTCACCAAACCAATTCCCTTCTGTTGAGAAAGCTCGCATGCCATTCAGAAATATCCACTTTGCTGGATTTAAATACACGCAGAACGGGTTTTTTTAATCCTCTCTAACACAATAGTTTGCATCTCAAATAGTGAAAAAAGAGCTCAAGACTGAAGGGATCCTGACAGAAGGTGAAGTGCAAAGAGTGTTAGAGACATAACACCTTGATGATTAACGGGGTGTGCAGATCCCTCTTAAGATGGTTACGACTGAATGAATAACAGGCCCATGCTGTGCACTGCCTCCCTGACTCACTACACATTAAAAAAAAAAGCAGCAGATGCGTGACCAATGTTGTACAAACGCTGACTTCACCGGCTCCCCGAGACGGAGAGAGGAAACTCCCAGCCAGCTGGACGCTCTGTGCTTCGAGAGTTTGGGCTTGATTGCATGTAGTGTAACTCACAGCGCAAAAACACTCCTATAGTGAGTGATAGTAAGTCTGCTTTAGGCACTAGTGTGCTCTCATCTCGATACATGAGTCAGATAATAGATATCCTTGTATGAAGCACAGTTGCGGTCACAGGAAGGGGTAAAATCAACTCTCTCTCTCTCTCACAAACACATTGTTACATAGAATACGAGGTTTTCCCAAGTCGAACAGCTATGAAAATATAAAGTCATTTGTCCATAAAAAAAAAAAGTAAGCTTATATAACAATGGAAACTTGCTTTAGGCAGAAACAATGGTGCCAAAGATGACAAGCCACACCAAAGGAAAAGAACGGCTCATAAAACAACAACCCTTGTTTCTCTTACACTCACAGTTTGGATGATTTAAACGAGCGTTAGTCTACTTTAGGGCTTTGATAAATCTGACTGCTGCAAATAAAGTATTTTAACGACACAGAAAATCAATAAATCCTCTGGAAATCTGGAGGATTTAATCTTCATTATCAGGCATGAAGAACTCTAACAGTATTTCTTCTATTTCATTTAGCCATTTTAAAATGACTGTAATGCCAAGACCTTTGAGGCATTCTGAATCACACATAACAACACACTAGGCCTTTCTATTTGGCTATTTTATAAGAGCTACTTACTGCAGGGAAACAGGGGGGCTTGTTATATAATCATGGTGAAGCCATCTGATCCTTTGAGCCGGGGATCCAAAACAAATGCTTTTCCCCTTCGTCGAATGCTTAATTTATGAGAGAATACCCAAATGGGATTACAGAGGAGGGGACCGCCTGTGCCTGTCTCAACTTGATAGCAGTAATAACGTCATCATGCATTTCTTAATATCACTACTGCTTAGATCTCAGGGACGTGACAAACGGTACACTCATTTCCTTCTGTGAACAATTATTAGGTGTCCCCATCATGTGGTTCCTTTTAACATCAATCTATCTGTACCATAAGTCAGTGTCAGAGTTTCACTGCTATTGTCTCTGACTGGACAGTGAAACCTGTGGAGGGAAATGGCAGCTAAGGTGTTATCTGTCTGCCTGCAAAGAGTGAAATGTCTTGTGATTATCGACTGTTGCTTTGACCAAAATGAAAAGAAAGCAATGTGCAGACATCATCTCAGGATTTAAGACACTGTATTGCAGCTTTGCTTTTATGGGGACAGAGTTTTTTTTCAACTGTAAATTCACTAATTACCAATATGGCCTTCGCTATGTTGACTTGTTTATAAACTGGGGTGAAATGTGACCTTTTGTACTGGCATGTATGTACACTTTACACTGACTTTGCACCAATATGACTTTGCAAAGCTACCCAAATGGTTGCTTTCTTAAAACAAGTGACTCATTAATTACTTTTTCAGATATTCATGTAATACTTTTCCCAACATATCCTAGCACAGACCTCTGTCCGTCACGGTGATCTGCTAGATGTGCTGCAGACAGTGCGCACAAACAGTGGAGTTTGTGCACAACTAATCTGCTGAAGAGAAAAGCATTGGGATTTCAAATGAGTCCTTTTAAGTTAAAACGTATAAAAACATTGTAGTTCAAACAAAACAAAATGTATTTACATTTATTTACATGAGAAAATATGTTGAGCTATGAGACAGGAAATACTCACAATAACACAGCTCTACTGCACACCACTTTAAGGTCTAGTATTTAAATCTACAGCTGAGCTCTTTCTTGTATTTTCCTGATTATTGGTAATCCATATCAGTTTAATTAAGAGCAAGAGCATCAGGCACCTTCAACCATGCAAAGATTCAACCCAATGATTAAAGGAGAGCTACACACACACACACACACACACACACACACACACACCACACACACACACACACACACACACACACACACACACACACACACACACACACACACAG